GCCGCTGGGCAGAGCCCTGCGCCCAGGCCAGTTAAAGAAGTCTTGGACCCTTTCTTTCACTGGGATCCCTGCCCAGCACCTTCCTACAGAGACGACTTAAACAAAAACAAAACAAGACAAAACAAACAAACAAGGAAACTACACCATTCCAAGGAATCTGGAATTCCTTCCTTCTTCCATGCTAGGTGCCTGCCCTCCGTCTTCACTGCCTCCTTTGCCCTGTCATGCCCAACTGCTTTTGGTTTCTGTCCAGGCACCTGAACAAAGGACTAAAATCTCCACTGCAGCCTGGTTTTAGGTCTTGTGTAAGAATCTTGCACAGCATTGCTAATGTAAATTACAGTTTTTCTCTCTAGGACGCTTACCAAAATATGCAACTTTTTTTGGTGGGAAGAGAGATTGTCCTGTGACTTCTACCCATTTCCTGAGGCCTGTGGAAATAAACCTTTATGTACTTAAAGTTATAAGAAAATAGAATAAAATTAATACCAAACTTGAAAAAAAATGGAGTCCAGATTAGATATAGAAATACCAGTTGGAACCCTATTTAGGACGTGCTAACAGTCTAATTAGAGAGCTGACGAAGGAAATACAGAGGAAGATATAGAGTGAACAGATCCCAAATAGGATATATAGGACTTGGTGACTGGGGGAAGGTGATGGATGAGAAGAGGAAGTCTAGACTGGAGAATTGGGTGGAGGGTGGTACTATTTACTGTATTAAGGACACAGATTTTATTGAAAAGATTGAGTTGGGTTTTGGACATACTTTGAAAGGACTGTAGTATATGCAAATAGAGATATTAAGCACAATGTTGAATATAATGTTCTAGAGTTCAAGAGAGACTCCGAAGATATAGATGTAGATTTAAAAAGTGTTGAGAGGTTAACAAGATCAGTTAAACAAACTGTGTAGCTTGAGAAAACAACATGGCTAAGGACACAGTCCTGAGGCACAGCATTTATGTGATTAGCAGAGGAAGTGCCTGTAAGATAACCAGAATGAAGGAACAGGCAATGATAATAGGCAAAAACAATGGGTAAGCTCGAAAATCATAAAGGCCTTCTGAAGCAGTAGCAGATCTAAGAAGAAAAACTTGAAAAGAACAGCTTTGTGTAGCCATTAACGGCAGGTGCTTGGAAAACTAGGCTAAACCTGGAGAAAAAATGCTCAGAAACAACTCAAGTAAAGGACAGGAATAATCATAGAAGGAGACTCTCCATTTCTTCATCTACAAAGTGGAGAATTCTAAATACGTGGATTCCTAGACCCTTTCCAGTTCTAAAATTCTGATCCTATGAGCTGGTGTTGAAGATTGAGCAGGATCTGGGGTGACTGGGTGGCTCAGTCAGTTAAGCATCTGACTTCAGCTCAGGTCATAATCTCACAGCTCGTGAGTTTGAGCTCCACGTGGGGCTCCGTGCTGACAACCCAAAGCCTGGAGCCTGCTTCAGATTCTGTCTCTCCCTCTCTCTCTGCCCCTCCCCTCTTTGATCTCTCTCAAAAATAAACATTAAAAAATGTTTTTAAAAAAGAGTGGGTAGGATCTGGAGTTTCAAGAACAGTAACCCTTTCTGCTCTCTTGCCCCTCCAGCCACACAGCACCCTCCCCCTGCATTCACACCAACCACATGGTTCCCACAGTTCTCTTTCTACAATTGACTTTAGAGGTGCACACCTCACTGGACTGGGCCAATGAGACCTTTCCCAGGATTTAAAGATTGGAAGTGAGAAAGACATTTGTCTTTTTATGTTTTTATTAGAGAGAGAGAGAGAGAGAGAGGAGGGGAGGGGCAGAGAGAGGGGGAGACAGAATCTGAAGCAGGCTCCAGGCTCCGAGCTGTCAGCACAGAGCCTGATGTGGGGCTTGAACCCACGAACCGTGAGATCATGACCTGAGCTGAAGTCGGACGCCCAACCGACTGAGCCACCCAGCCAGGCGCCCCAAGAAAGTCATTTTTTTCCTTTTTTCTGGGTGACAGAAAGAATATATGTGAAATCTGGAGCTGATGGTAACTGATTTGTAACGAGGTGCTAAAAACAAAACAAAACAAAAAACGAAGACACAAGCAAAGGTGAGAGATGGAGAGAAAGCTGCCTGGGTTTTCTAAAGTGCTTCAGGTCCTAAGCCCAGTCTGCTGTTTGAATGTATTGCAACCCATGAATTACAGGATACCCCAATATCCCTCTAATAACACCCCCACATTGAGGCTTAAAAAGCCCCAACTGATTTGTTATTTGACCAAAGAGTCTCAACTAATCTACTGTGTTTAGACAGAGCCCATATAGGAAGGAGGAAAACGGGACATGGAACTATAAAGTAGCAACAGCTATAATGGAAAATCTAAGTGCCAGGCTTTGGTTTATAACCTTAGTGGATGGAGGTGAGGGTAAATCGATTAACATTTCACAGAATTACTAAAACTTTAATAAACATTTACCAGATTGAAAAATGAGCATGTACAAAACCACGTGGCCCCGATCGTGGTGCTCAGCTTTCACAACATAAGCAATGTTAATTAATACTTTCATTAATCAATGCTTATTAGACAGTCATGCCCTACCTCTTTTCTCTCTTCCTCCATGTATTAACTATAACTTGCTAACTTAACCATCCGGTAAAATGCTGTGGTTGATCATCCATAGTACACCCTGCCATCTTTAGTCTCCCGACTCAATTATCAGTGTTCCTCCATTCCATCAGAGGGGTTGCAGCCAAGATTTGACTTGCTAAGATAGGTGGATTGGTCTCTTTAAAGGGACTCTCATTGATCAGGCAGCTCCAGCCTAGAGGTCAAGGACTGGAGCAGTTGGTGGAAAGAGGGCTTCTCCTTTTCCAGCTGAGATTTTGGTAGGCTTGGCTATTGTTCAGTAAGATGCAGACTCCTCTCTGGCTCCAGGAATGGCAAGCAGCGCTCCTTCTGGGGATGCAGCTCAGCTGGTACTTCCACACTAGTTATTGAGACAAATGGATACTTCTTTGATGACTAACGGGGCTGTGGGTCCAGGACATGCTTCAGCATCAGGTGGCTCCTAGTCCTCTTGCTGGTGGGAAAGGAAATTGGCCCAACCTCTATGAAGGCCAGTTTGGCACTATCCATCATACAAGTGCACATACCCTCTAGTATAGAGACTCCAGTTCTTGGAATTTACCCTACACAAACACATGTGTAAGAAAGAAAAATGTGTAAGACTATTCATTGCAACAAAAGATTAGAAATCCAAAAGTCCATCATAGTGAACTGGCTAAATAAATTAAAGTACATTCAAACCACAGAATACCATGCAGTTATAAAAAAGAATGAGTAGGCACTTTATCTACTAATATGGAATGACCTCCATGATATATGGTTAAGTAATGAAAGTAATGTGCAGATGTGTTTACATAGGAAGCTGCCATTTATGCTTAAAAAGAACTCTGCATATTCTCTTGGATACAAATAAAAAAGATCTCTTGAAGGGTGCATAAAAAGTTATAAAAATGGTTGCCTCTAAGGTAGAATTTGGTGGTGGATGTAGGAAAAGGATTTTCACTTATACAACTGTCTATGCCGTTTGAATTTTATCAGATTTGTAAGTCTCCTCATTTAAAAAAAGTAAGTTACTTAAAAAACAGGGGTGATTTTTTTCAACAGTACTTCCCAAATGTTAGTCTATAAATCAGAGAATGCCCATGGAGAATAATTCACCCTCCATGAAATCAGGTAACAATTATGTGTGCATCACAATCCTGAATTTAATTTAATCCTTTATTCTTAAGTACTTTGTATGGAGGTGTTAGTAGATAATAGTTATCAATATACTATTTACACAACAGGCAATATTAAAGGCTGGTATCATTATATCAATTCCTCAAATTTGGAATCCTGGAATTTAAAAGCACTGATTTAGAGTTAGCTTTTGTTCTCATGTTGAATAATCTATTTTTACACATTATTTCGAAAGGCATTCCTCCTGTGTATTTCATGATGTCGACTAAGTGATGAATTATAGCTGAAGGCTTTTCCACATTCATTACATTCATAAGGCTTTTCTCCAGTATGGTGTCTCTGATGTTTCTTAAAGGATGAATCATGCCTGTAGGCTTTTCCACAGCGGTTGCATTCATATGCTTTCACTCCTGTATGAACAGTTTTATGGTTGCTAAGGTGTATCCTCTGTCTAAAGGCTTTCCCACATTCCTTACATTTGTAGGGTCTCTCCCCAGTATGGATTCTCTGGTGATGCGTTAGATACGCTCTATGACTAAAGGTTTTACAACATGCAGTGCATGCATAGGGCTTCTCCCCAGTGTGAATTCTTATATGTTCACTAAGGTGTCTAATCTGTCGGAAGGTTTTCCCACATTCATTGCACGTAAAGGGTTTCTCTCCAGAATGAGTTCTCAAATGCTGGATCAAGCTAATGTTCTGGCTGAAAGCTTTCTGACATTTATCACATACATAGGGTTTCTCTCCAGTGTGAGTTCTATGATGTTGATTAAGAGATGAGCGATGCCTAAAGGCTTTGCCGCATTCTTCACATTCAAAGGGTTTCTCGCCAGTATGGATCCTCTGGTGTGTAGTAAGGGATGCACTTTGGCTAAACGCTCTTCCACATTCCTTACATCTGAAAGGTTTTTCACCAGTATGAATTCTCATGTGTTCAGTGAGATGAATGGGTTGTTTGAAGTTTTTTTCACATATATTACATTCATAGGTTTTTGTTCTTATGTAACTCGGATGACTTATCAAGTCTAATTTGTATTTATTCCTCTTTCTAGGTGTATCACATTTACGGTGCCTCTGTTCTATTGTAACATTTGAACTGACAATATTTTCCCCGAATTTGTTAGTTTCTTGGTCACTCTTCTTGTGGGTCAGGATGGCGTGTCTTATATCTCTTCCATGGGATTCTTGGTGCTCTTCTAACTCGCCATCATATTTAGAGACTTTTCTCAATGTGGAGTAAATGACATCATCTCTCAGGAACCCTTCCATCATAATGCCATGATATAAGTGTTCCTGTAAAATCTCATTCTTTGAAGCTGATGTACTGGTTTCTGTTTTATTCTTCAAGTCTGAAAGAAATGGAAAAAATGCACATAAGTCACATTCATTATGCTTCAAAAAATCAATTACTATAGTGGATATGGAATAGAGATTTAGAGAACTACACATATAAAACACATGAGACTTTGATTACATTTGACCCTTGAGCAACATGGGGGTTGGGATATCAACCTCAACACAGTAAAAAAAATCCATGTATAACTTCTGATTCCCACCGAAACTTAACTACTAATAGCCTACTGTTGACTAGAAGCCTCACCAGTAAATCAATTAACACTTACTTTTTATGTTATGTGTATCATATACTAGATTCTTACAATAAAGAGAAAAGAAAATGCACTGTAAAAAATCCACATATAGGGGTGCCTGCGTAGCTCAGTTGGTTAAATGTCTGACTCTCGATTTTGGCTCATATGATGATCTCACAGTTCAAGAGATCGAGTCCTGTGTCGGGCTCTGCACTGACAGCATGGAGCCTGCTTGGAAGTCTCTCTCTCCCTCTGTCCCCACACACCCCCCCACCCCCGCTTGTGTTCTCTCTCTCTCAAAATAAATAAACATTAAAAAAAGTTGACAAATCATTTCATTAAAAAGAAAAACTCCAGGGGTGCCTAAGTGGCTCAGTCTGTTGAGCGTCCAACTTTGGCTCAGGTCATGATCTCATGATTGATGGGTTTGAGCCCCACATCAGGCTCTGCGCTGACAGCATGGAGTCTGCTTCGGATTTTGTCTCCCTTGCTCTCTGCCCCTATCCCACTCACTCCCTCCCTTTCTAAAATAAATATTAAAAAAAATTCACATATAATAGGTGGACGCATGCAGTTCAAACCAGTGTTGTTCAAGGTCAATTGCACATTTAAAAATGGTTATGCAACATGGGGAGGTAATGAGAAGTTAAGAAACAGTAAATAAGGTAAATGTGTGATTTTATACAGAGAGTAAAATTTGAGCACTTCAGACATGCTCTAATACTAAATAATGAAATTTCAGAGCTATGTCTTAAGAATATCTTTTCTTGACAACTACTTTTAGAAAACAATCTCAGAAAGATAAAAAGATGTCCCTCTCCCCACACCAGCAGGAGATGCTCATTCAAAAACTAAGGTCTGAACTAAGAACTTTCATGAAAACATTAAGCTTTTATCGAAACTTGTATTAATATTTGCTTTGTTCTATCTCCTGTGGTTATTAATCTGTCCCTAGAAATGTTATTTATACAAAGGAGACTTGTAAGAAACCCAAACTGCTATATTACTATTATTGCTATGTTCTCTGAAAATATCTTTTAATCTCTACAGTTTTGACTGGGTTTTTTGATCATCTGTTATACCCATCACTAATATTTCAACTGATACATCTTCATTCTTGAAAAGTATAACTTTTTGTAAGATTTTTCGGTCAACACAAAAGGATCAATAGTACTTCCAAATTCTTAATGAGTAAAGGCAATAATAGAGTCTATGTTGTGTAGGCTTCTGATTCTGGTCCTAAAAATGGGAGGTGGAAGAAAAGAAGACAGAGCAAGAGAGAAGAAGCCTTCTATGTCATGTCCCCTTTCCCAATTCAATATCCAGGCCTGAAGGACCAAACTACAGAAGAAGAGATTTTTAACATTTAAAAAAAAATTTTTTTTTCAACGTTTATTTATTTTTTGGGGGACAGAGAGAGATAGAGCATGAACGGGGGAGGGGAAGAGAGAGAGA